GGTTACAGTGGGTTGGTGGAGAGTAGCGTTACAGGTTCAGATACCCAAAATGGTTCCAGAGCTAAGATGGCATGAGTGTTATTAATCTTCAGGGTTGATATTGGAGTTATCCCTCACACAGACTTTATTACAGATGGCAGTCATCTCTTTTATAAGGTCTGGAGTTCACACTGTACAATCCCGAAACATATTATTATGTGAAAAACCTTGGCAAGAAACTATGAACTGTCAAATCTCAACAACTTATGAAAACATTTCCCAAATGTCCAATGCCTTTCTTACATTTTATGACAAAAGTACATGTATTTGGAAACATTCACCCCCTAATTCCTTAACAATTATATTTATTTTACCTAAAAGAAGAGAATATTATGCAAGCATGGCCGCTATCCCAAGTCATGATTTATTATAGAATAACTTCAGAAGCCAAACTGGACTTTTTAGGAATCATTGAGCCTTGCATCACATCTTCACCCATGTAATTTCTTCTTTGATCCATATTATATCTTTATTAAAGCAAATACCTAACTAAAGTGGAATTTGTTTGACCAATAAACCCAAGCACAAAGAGGTCTTAGTACCATGACTTAGAAAATCTTCTTTATAGTTTTAAAAACATTTGGTTTTATTTGAAAGGCAGAAAAGAGTGGTCTTCCATCTGCTCATTCACTCTACAAAAAGGCCGCAACAGCCAGAGTTGAGCTGATTCAAAGCCAGGGGCCTGAAGCTTCTTCTGGGTCTCTCAGGTGGGTGCAGGGACTCAGGGACCTGAACCACTCTCAGCTGCCTTTCCCAGGCCAAAAGCAGGGAGCTAGATTTGAAGCGGAGTACTAAGACACAAACCAAAGCCATATACAATGCTGGTGCTAGCAAGACTGGCTTATTGCACCACTGCGCTGGCCCCAGTGTTTCTCTTTCATTCTTTTTCCCCCCTGTTTTGTTACCTCAATTTTAAGACAACCTATCTATAAGATATTTATTTAAGTCATATGAGCCTAAAAGTTATTTTGGTGATGGCTACTTAAAATCTTAAACTGCTTTTAAAAATAATCATCAATTGATTAGGATTACTTTTTGGCCTTAGTAGAACTAATCACACTTCTCAACATGTAGTTCATTGTTTTGTTTTGTTTTTTTTTTTTGTAGTTCATTGTTAATCCTAGGTTCATTTATTTAAAGATTGTCCCAAAGTATTGAATACAACAGAAATCACAGACAAAAGGTTTGGAATATAGAAGAGGGAGCATTTAAACACAGAAACAACCATGTTTTACCATCCAGGAGCCCTTGGTTTTGATGTATTTCCTTTCTTTCTTTCTTTCTTTCTTTCTTTCTTTCTTTCTTTCTTTCTTTCTTTCTTTCTTTCTTTCTTTCTTTCATTCATTCTTTCTTTCTTTCTTTCTTTCTTCTTGCTTTCCTTTCTCTTTCCTCCTACTCCTCTTTCTTCTCTTCCTCCTCCTCCTTTTTCTTCTAGAGTTGAGAAAGCTCTTATCTAATTCAGAAAACCTGCATTTAAGTGCATTTACCAGAGTCTTTTTTTTTTTAATAAATCAGATTGTAAGTCTTTTTAGAGACCAAAACTGTGATGAGAAAAGACTAAACAATCAGAATTTAATAGAGGGAATACAAGAAAACTACCTTAATAGGAAACAAAATCTGTCTTCTTTGTCACCAAATTAGGAAATAAGAAACCATGAATATAAGAATTAGCACATGGAATCATGGAATCCTATCATAACTTTGGCAATTTAACAGAGTCAGAACTAGGAAAAAGAAGACTTTACCGGAAATGGCTAGAAAATTGACAGTCACCGGTTAAACAAAAGCTAATAGAAAGAGATGCTGCAGTTTCTAAAACACATACGAAATCAGAGACCTACCATTGTCAGATATTTACTAGCATAGTCACATGCATATAGCATTTTAAAAGCCTTGTTGCTTTAACATTGGATTAGGTTAACAGTATTAGATTCTAACTCTAATCTGTGTCAGTCTGTCTTGAACATTAGTGCCACATTTTCAGAAAATACTGTAAACAATATTTTAAACATTGTTATAAATTTTCTCATATACAAATTTTGTATCATTTATATATCTTTTATCTACATCATTCTATATCTTACTGATATTTTCTGCGACTGATTTAAGTCAATAGGTATTTTGTGCTCTCTTTCTAGGCTAGAATAACACAGCCATTCTTCTGTAGGAAATTTTTATTAAAATTTTTATTTATTTTTATCTAAAAATCGTATTTTACAAGGAGATAGGGAGAGATGGAAAAATCTTCCATTCACTACTTCACTACCCAAATCGCCTTAAGGCCAGAGTCCAAAGTTGGGAGCTAGGAGTCTCCTTGGGGTCTCCCCATAAGTGCAGAGGCTGAAGGCTCTAAGCCATCATCTACTGCTCTCTTAGGCCACAAGCAGGGAACTAGATTGGAACTGCAGCAACCGGGACATATGGGATACCCCCATCACAGGGTGGAGGATTAGCCTGCCCCAGTATACCACCTTTCCAAAGGCAGATTCTGGAGAGTGGAAAGAAAGTGTCTTGTGCACTTTCAAAGAGATTCCCCTTTCTCATCCCGCCATGGACCCAAGTCCTGCTACCCATCACCCCATCTAACCCCTTACAGCTCTGTGGTGTTCCCTCTGCTCAATGTCAAAATCCATGTAAGCCGCCCGAGGAGGATCAAGTTTGAAACAGGCTCTCAGGAAAATCAAAATCAAAAGGAAAGAAATTATATGATGGCGCCATCCCCAAAGGTCCCACAGGGTTGTTGCTGTAGGGCTCAAGGCTAAGCATCTATAAGGATACTGCTGTGAGAGCCAATAAAGATGCAGTAACCCTTTACCCTGGGCCAAAAGCCAGTCCTGGAAGGGTCTATTCGTTTGGGGCTGTCACTTAAATCAATCAGAGAGGTGAGGGGTCAGATCTGGAAGTGAATCAAGAAGTCTGAGACATTAATCCGTATATGTTCAGCAGTATTTAAAGTTGGTAGGTCTGGGTTTTTACTAGAAACTGCAAAATTGTAGCCACGGTGGTAAAAGTCTCCTGATAAAACTCTCCTTCACCAGGAATTAAAAACCCCAACAACAGTCAGACACCGGTGACTCATGACAGGGTCAATTTCTAGAGAGTAAGACCTGAGGACACTGTGACAGACTTCCCCCACTCCCAACCTCTCCCCCTCCCCAAATAATAATGCGCAGACAGGTGCACAATAACACATGCAAGGAAGCTGAGGCAAGAGACCAGTCAGGAGGCAGCATTCCCGGATGCGGAGCCAGAGCAAAGAGGCTGGTGCTTTGGAGATGATCTTCCGAAGTTCACAACGGTCATTTCCAGGGGGAAAAGTCCCAAGGTGGATCCAGAGAACAGTCCAGAAATGATGCCTGAGGAATGTCGTCCAATCAGAAACGAGCCAATGGCAAGTCAACCCTTGGTTGTGCGGTGGGGAGGTGCGAGTCTGGAACTCACTCAAGGAAGAGTTTCTGATCACAATGAGGATGTGACCTGGACCTGAGACCCTCGGGACTTCACCGGGTTACCTGCAGGTGCTTGCACCCACTGCAGCATTCCAGAAAGGACATTATAAGGTGTCAAGAAAGAGCAAGCGATGGGCTGTTTCATGGCCTGGAGCAGGGAATCGTGGGAAAACCTCCAATCATGCTGCAGCAAAATGAATGAGACCGGGTTCAACCCTGATGTCAATGACGATTTATGAGCCTGGGTAAAATGGTGAGAATGGGGGCTGGTAGAAAAGAAATCCACGCGCTGACCTCTCTCATTCTAGGGGTGTATGCGTGTCATTCGTCCTTATCTCCAGGGATCACCCTGAAGGCAGTGGGAGTACTCCTGGAGCCCTTTCCAGTTTGCAAACTTTGGCTGAAAGCTGAATCATATTTATTTGTTGGCAAGTGCTTGTTAGGGGTTTCCATCCCTTTTTGCTCTCTCTCTCTCTCTCTCTCTCTCTCTCTCTCTCTCTCTGCATGTGTGTGTGTGTAGGATACACGCGGGCCAGGGGCTCTGGGATGCTGTTGCCTACGCTGATTGCAGTCCTAGACTCCCTTATAAGTACATGATACACTAAGATTATTGAACAAGTCATGAATTTTGGCTGAAAATCAGATTTCAGTGTGGGTGGATACACAGGTCCTTTCAAATAGGGCAAACCGTGCTTGCTGGTGAGTAAACCGTACAGAAGGAACTAGCAGTGCTAGAGACCTGTCCGCTAGCCATCCTCCTGGAGCTCATTGCCTCCGCTTCTTGCATTGGGTAAGCAGGAAGCACTTCTCTAAATGAGGATCAGCAACTTGTGTGTAAGAAAAAAAACTAGCTTTTCCTTGGAATATATTAAATAATGTTTCTCTTATTTCCCTATGCGTTCAGTTCTTCCTCTGGCTTTTTACAAATAAAGGACAGACAATGATTCTTTTTGCTGAGAGAGAGAGAGGGAGAGAAGTATTTAATTTTTCTCCAGAGTTCAACAAGTCTTGAAGAACTTCAGTGATTCTTGGGAATAAGCGGACGCAAGGGCAGCTGTTGAGACTTGGCAACGGAGCCGGCGACAATTGCTTGGCTAAAGCTTTAGCTCTGTGATCGTTTCTTCTTGGGTGGCTTTGTCCTGCCTGCTTGCCTGTGTGTCTGAGAATGAGCTATGTATGTGTGCAGCCAAAAAGGGGGCAGGAAAAAGGATTATGGTTTCCTGCAACATTGCATTTCCCTAGAGTCTCCTGGGGGTTTGAAAAAAATTTATTATTATTATTTTTCAAAATAACAACTCTTTTTATTTCCCCGTAATAGTGCTTCTTTCCAGGTATTTTCAAGATAATGGTGATATACAACTATACAATAGCATGATCTTTAAGAGGATTGTGTGGGTAGGTCCCAGGGTTAGTAGGGAGAAATGCAAGGAGCATGTCTAGGGGACGTATGTGTATCTTGCGTGCATATTTGTTCCTAATAAAGACATGTTGAGATTTGCTATAATTTCTTTTCCAGCACTTTTCCCAACTCTGGGTCCCAAGGGGCTCCACCTGCTGCTTAGTGGGGGCTTTCTCATCACAGCTTCTTCTTGAATAAATGCAGCACTTGCTTGTGACTGATACACCAAGAATGCCGCTGTGGATCTTGGCAGTTCTGACTATTCCCGCCTATTTTACATCAGCTTCAAACAGTAAGTATCAGAATGAGGTCATTAGGAGAATGCTGTTTCATTGCCTACTGCTTCCTTTTCATGGTTCTAGCCAAATTGGGTATTGAAAATATTATTTTTCCCCCTCATTATATGACAAATCTACCTGGAGAGATTCTTCATGGGAATTATGTGTATATTTTAGTTTTATGTGTTTAGATACATCAGATTTTACCATGAGGTCTGCATGGAAGAGGTATTGAAGATGTGTGTTGACTGGCACATGATTTGTTAAATCAGGAATGGCTGCTTTTCTATTGGAACAGCAGGAGATAATCAGGTTCCAATTAGCTCATCATCAGTGAAAGGCAGAGATAATTTCATAGAAGATCTCAATATTTGCTTATTTCTTTTCAAAATATTGCCATGTGTAACCCACTGACAAATTTAATCCTTGGGGTGGGGGGACTAATAGGAATATAGGAGTTAAGGTCTTTTCAGATAATGATTTCTGGATCTTTTAGCATTTTTTTTTTCTTTGCAGGCAAACCATTCTGGGGTCTGGAAAATGAGGCTTTAGTTGTGAAATGTCCGTTATCTGGGGAAAATAGTCACCAAGTGGATTGGTACCACTCAGTAACTAACCAAAAAATTTCTACTGAGAAAGGAAGTCGTGTATTTTCCTCAAGATATCTTAAGTTTCTGCCGGCCCAAATCAGCGATTCCGGAATTTATACTTGTGTTATCCAAAGGTATCCAAGAAGCCACTGTGATCTTTGAAACTGCTCCCTTCCTGTAGGGGCTAGGAGTCTGAGCCGCTCTCATTTCCTTTCCTGTTCTGATCAGTTCTGGGACAGTTGAATGTCTTAAGTAATTTGACAAAACGAATACATCTAGGAACACTACCAGGGTAAGGTTTAGATGACTGTGAGCTGGGTGTGTGCATTTGGAATTACAGGAATTAAATGTAGACTACTTAAAAAAAAAAGACTCTGATTTCCTAGTGTCTGAGAGAATGGAGAGTAATTGTTCACTTTTCATAGGAAATGAGAAGAAATCAACAAAAAACAAAAACAAAGACAAAATCTCAATGGCCTTTGCCTAGGGTAGGCTTGAACTAGGGCTATGAGCCATGCCTTAAAACTTGTTGATTTAAAGAAGATTACGTGGAGTTGTGGGTATACCAATTACACATTCAGAATATACAGTATTAATGTTTTGATTTTCTGCTAAGATTGGGTCCAGCAAAAATGTTAGCTGAATTACATGAAAAGGATGGATAGATGCAGTTAAGTGTCTAGGTTCTGAGACTGTAGAGCTCCAAATTCATGTTGTTCCTCTGGTTAGCTGTATGATGTCAGCGTGCTACTTCTCTTCCCCGAATCTCTGATCCAAAGTTTCCTCTTCTGAAGAATTCATATCACATCATTTCAAAAGTTCTTGGAAAATGAGACTGAAAGGTCAGTTTATTTTAGTGTAAAAATGTTTTAAAATCCACAAGTAGATTTTCATGAAGTTTTTGGAAATCCTTCGTATCGTAATGTTATGTAACTTAAAGCACACTTGTGAGAATAAAATGAAGAGAGCTTACTGGTATAAGTGGTACACAGAAAGTAATCAATAGTTGCTTTCTTCTCACAGGAGCGGATGGTACTACAGTTGATGTAGTGTATAAAGAAATGGTGATAGAGGCATTTTTGGATTCCCATAGTGACTATGTCCTAGTACAAGAGTAACAAAAATATTTGAAAGATTTAGTGATTATTTTACAATTTAACTTTTATTTATTCATTTTTAAAATTTATTTTATGATGTAGATCCATAGGCTCTGGGACTTCCCCTTCCCCTCACTTATTTTCCCTATATTAATACAATAGTATAGTCTTTCAAAAATAGTCATAAGCCCATAATTCTGCTGTTTACGTGTATCCTAGCATTGTAGGTATGGACAATGGCCGAGAGTCCATAAGATATATTTGATGGTGCCATTGGGAGTCCATTTTTATTTGGAAGTAGAGATGTAGATTGCATTGTATCTTCCATCTCTATATGGATAATCTCTATTATATAGTTTATCTACATGACTACATGTACACGCATATTTCCTATGTATCTCTTGATATCGTATTTTGCATGAAGATTGCCTTATAACAAGAAAAATGTATGATATTTGTCCTTTGAGTATAATAGTCTCTAGTTGGGACCATCTTGTTACAAATGGTAGAATCTCAATTTTTTTTTAATGGCCGAGTACTACTTCATAGAGTAGATAAACCACAATTTATTTATTCACTCCTCTTTCGATAGGCATCTACGTTGTTAAAACAAAACAAAAACCTAAAACTATGTAACAGTGTTTTATAGGAAAAAAGTGATATTAAGGAAAAATTGTTGTTGTATTAACCTATTTGAAAATGCTAAATTACTCTTCTTTAATGGTTTTATTTATTTTAATAGCCCCACTTTCAACGGTACAAAATATGTTAATGTCACCATATATAAAAGGCAACCAGATTGCAGAATTCCAGATGATTTTATGTATACAACAGTAGATGCATCAGAAAAAAATCCCCGAATAAATTGTCCTAGATCTGAATTCTACAATTGGACAGCACCTCTTGAGTGGTTTAAGGTAAAGGGGGAGTTGAAGGGAAACAGCTGAAGATGAAATATTGAGACTAGATCATAGTGAAGACATCCCGAAAAAAGAATGGAATTTTTATTTCAGAACTGTAAAGCCCTGACTGGATCAAGATACAACGTGTACAGCTCATATTTGCTCATTCAAAATTTGACAAGTGACGATGCTGGGGATTACACGTGTAAACTTTTGCACAATGAAAATGGAGCCAATTATACCGTGACAGCCACCAGGTCTCTTTATGTGAAGGGTATGTCTTTAACTAAATATGGCTATTTGGAGAAAGATAAAGTAGGGAGAAGCATGCCCCTTTGGTTGAATTTTCTCTACTACAATTTCTTTCCTGACATTTCTTCCTACTGTTTATATTGTATTATATGAAGAGAACTTCTGTACACGCTTGCAAGTTTCAAGAAGCTTGTGGGAGAGATGACATGACCAACCTGAGGATACCTACATTCCTTCATTCACAACTTAGTTTTCTGAAGATACAGTGGTCTGAATTATTAAAGGAGTTTACCATTTTTAAGATTAAATACTGTAATTTGTGGTGAATTTGTTCCAAGATCCTGTATAAACATCAAAATAATTGAATACTCAATTCCTTATTTTTTTAAAAATGCCAAAATAGTGGTGCATGACCAATATAAATCCTATCCTATACTTGCAACGATTTATTTATTACTTTTTGGAAAGTCAGATTTACAGAGAGGAGGAGAAACAGAACGATCTTCCTTCTACTGGTTCACTCCCCAAGTGGCCGCAATGGCAGGAATTGCACCAGCACGGGAGACCTTGGGGATGTTGCTGGCTTTGGATCAGCTTGGCTCCAGCTGTGCGGAATGAATCATCAGACAGATGATCTTCCTCTCTGTTTCTCTTCCTCTCTGTATATCTCACTTTCTGATAAAAATAAGTAGATCTTTAAAAAAATAGTATCAAAGAACATCAAAAGTGGTGAGCGTGTTAGTGTGAGTTCCTCAAAAAGTTCATGGAAAAAATGGATAAAAAGAGATAAGCTTATTCTGTTGCAAAATATATTAAGTTCATGCTTTGGACTTAATATATTTTTCCATGATAGATATGTTCCACAAATTTTCTGAAGTCTCCTGTTTAAATATAGCTTACTTCGTGTGTGTCCATGGGTGTGCACACGTGTTGGTGTGTGGTTTGTTGATAGGGTTTATTGCCAGGGTGATTTGGAAACATTGCTGTGAAATAGGAGAGAAATATGAAAATGCAAGCTTTATGGTGATGATCAGTTAGTAACTTGTTTAATATTTATATTCCCTTTTTGTTTTTAAGAAATTCAAGGCTTTCCTTTGTTTCCAGTGATTAGAGCTCCTCCAAACAACGAAACGAAAGAAGTTGAACTAGGTAAGAAGATTTGAAGAATGCCGTGAATGTGATCTGGGAAGCCCTTGCATATGTTCCTTGTTCTGCATTTGCCTAGTATAGGGTCAGACAGTTAGCAGCAGGGACCCTGAGCACTGACCAAAATGATAGTGAGGGAGCACTGGCTTCAGGCTCTTGCTGCTACTAGCAGCCCCATCACAGCAATATGCCACATCTACCTGGGCAATGTGCTTGGGAAATCAGGTCCTTTCTTCAGTGCATCTCATTTCATTCTTTCTATCCAGAAGGTACATGCTGGTCCTACTTTGCTTGTCAGGAGCCTTAGGCTCAGAAATGCCCAATGATTATGGATCACCACAGAACAAAGACAAGAAAGGGGCTTTCTGGCTGTTTCCACATCTGTGTTTCCTGGTTCCCACCAAAATGAGATACAACACAAAACTCTCAGCTTCTAAAACCAGTGAGCATATGATGGGCCTCTTCCCTCCCTCTTGGCCATCTGTAGCCATAAACTCCACCATACTTCCTGGCATATTTTCTGTCCACTGCTAAGTGATACTTGTCACAGTCTTCCCTATTTTTGTCCATGTTGTTCCTCCTTCATTTGTCTCAAGACTAAGCTCAAATATCCCCTGCCTTGGAGCAGTCCCTCGATGCCATCCTCCATCCTACTGGAGAGCATGATCAAATCCAGGCACCATACACTACGCCGTCAGACAACTGCACTCCCTACCATTTTCCCGTGGCCTCCTTCATCACTTGTGCATCCTTTTACCAGAGTACTGGAGTCGCATGCGATCTAGTACTTATTTATACCATCACAAGCTCTCCAGAGCCTCTACACTCACCATTCCTCTTCAGCTTGCCAACCCTTAACACCGCATATGATTTCTGCAGGGAACTGAGTGCTGAGGAAGAAAGCATTCAATGCACATCTACACAAGAATACAGCCCGTAGGCTTTCAATTCTGAAAGGAGGAAGGCACAGGTTGAAGGAGTTAGGATGGAATGCCTGAGGTTTCTTTCTGGCTGCCCAAGTCCTGGGATGGGAGCTTGATTTGGTAAAGCACGGCTATGCTTCCACATCTAACTGATGGAGATTCAACAGCAGTTCAGCAGGAGGAGGAAGCTAGGGAATAGGGAAGTTCAAATGCATTCCAATTCCTAGTAAAGGGAAACCCTATGTGAAAGTACAGAGCTGGTTAAGCCACATTAGCTTCCTCAGTTTCCTCTACAGGTGAGTGGGTGGTAGGATTTGAGCTTAGAGCTTAGCAGCGAGTGAAATGAAGAAACTGGAGAAGGGAGGAAGAAATAACATAAGGACATAGGTCGCTAAGGGTGCCAGAAAGCAGGAGGGGAAATGCAAGTCTTTGCATGGCACACACTAGGTATTCGTCAAACTTTTTTTTTCACAATAAGTTAAATTCAGTATAGCTGGCACAATGGGATTTTACTGGTGACTATTTTTCTTTCCCATTTAGGAGAAACAACAAACCTAACTTGCCACGCTTGTTTTGGGAAAGGCATTCAGAAGGATACTATGGTCCAGTGGCGCATCAATGGATTTAAAGTGGAAAATTTTAGTGAAGTAAGAATCCAAGAGGTAGAAAGATCAAACGAAAGGTATTCTTATGTTGCACATAAACTATTCCTTTTCCTTCCCTCGCGATGCCTGCACAGGTAACATTTCAATGACAAATTGTCTTCTCACTTCCAGCAATGAAATGGCCTGTCTCAGTGTGGTCTTGAGAATAACTGATGTCAAGGAGACAGATTTATCACTGACTTTTGACTGTATTGCCCTGAATCGTGCTGGTATAAGAATTCACACTGCAAAATTAAGAAGGAAAAAGCCAAGTAAGGAATGTTTCTGAGCCCCAGGTCTTCAGAGTTTGTAGTGACAACTGGAAGTTGCAATCATTTTCTTTGATCACATGGGTTGATTTTTAGTCCCAAGGGACTCATCAAGGTGACAGACCTGTGCTGCTCTTCTTGGGGATGTCAGTTACTTGCAGTATGCTCCTCTCTCTGCTTTTTCTGTTTGCTTCTCTCTCACTTTGCTTCCTCTTCCTGTGTGTCTCTTATGTCCTCTTCCTCCTCCTCTGTGACATTCTATTTAGCAATCCACTGCTTTCTCGATATTTTCCTACTTTTCTTTTATCTCACTAGCTCCCTGTTTTGCTGTATGTGAAATAAAGCATACCGGTAGGAAAACAAACACGTTCTCTTGTTCCATTATATAACTTTTAAGACACGTGACCTAGCATGTTTTCTTTTACATATTTTGGTCATATGAAAGCATCCTTCCATGGTGAGGACAGTAAAATGGACACAAAGAAGGTATTCAAAATGGTATTCAACTACTGCCCATTGCAGAGAATCTTAGATGCATTTCATAAGAAGACATGCACTGCCATCATTAACTATCATAAGTTATTACATTTAGCTGAAACTCGGGAGAAGTCGAGTAGTTTAGTCCATATCTTACATGTTATTCTAGCAGTTCAGGGTCTACCTTCTCTGGGCAACCTTCCTTGACCACTATTTTGGTATATATTCATGCATAGCATCACATCTCCATTGTTAAACCATCACACTGCCTTGCCAAGGTCTAATAGGCAGTTGACTCAAGAAAACTGTCTACTCCTTGAAGGCAGAGATAGCCAAGTTACTCATTACAGTCTGTCCCACAGTGCCTGGCTTAGCATGTGCTCCATAAATGCTCGTTGAGTGAATAAACGAAAACACAACCAAGTTACCAATATAATAGCTTTGATCCATTTCTATTTCTTAGTACAGAAGCACTTAATACAGAAACACTATTCCATACTGACACTTGGTAAGTTGAATGCCTTTCTACTTACATTCAAAAGCTGAATTACTTACAGCTTCCATGTGATTTCATTTGTATCTAGCCTTTTAATGACATCATGAATTTCACACAATAAAATCTAGAGATATGAAACTGACTTCAATGAACACAGGATTCAAAAGCAACAGTAAAATCATCTACATATTGTGATTTTTGTGGCCACTATGCCTAGACAACAGTTCTAGAAGGGGGAGCGTGGATCTCCGCATCCTGGGTGTATCTCTGGCCACACTGCTATTGTGCAAAGTGGCTTTAACAGTATCTTATTCCTCAATCCTTGTTCATTTCCTAGAAGCTTGCTGTCTGCATTTCCAGGTTAAACCATCATGTTGGTTAAATGAAACATTTGATACCATATAAAAGAGCAGAGAGTGATGGCGTTTTCCTATTCATCATTTGCTTAGTGGCTGCACCACCGTGTAGAAATTATTCCACTTGTTGGCCAAGTAGTGAAAGAGAGTTATATTCTGAGTTCACATCACTATGCAAGGCAAGGCCCAGCTTCATTTGAGGGAGGCCACGGAGGCGCAGCCTGATGACATAGGATTGAGGGTTCAAGGAAGGCAGACCACTAGTTTGACAGGGTCGATCTTCGCCATACGTTCTGCTTTAACATTTTCCTTGTTTTAATTTCGGCATTAACCTCTGATTTATAATTTTGATAAAACACACAAAGTCCTGACTCACATAGATGATTTGAAGTGCCAATCCAGTTTTTGAGAACTGATTTCATTCACCCCTAGATGACCACGGATATTCTGCTAGAGCTGCCTCTGGGTGGTAGTGGACATAGTGGTTCCGACAGGGAGGGGGAAACTATTGTCCCCACTACTTTCCAGGCAACCGTTCTGTGGCACTATCCTTGTGTTTTGCTTATGTTATCACTCACAGATGTTCTCTAGTTGCTTCTGTTTGGGAATTACCTGTGTGTTACTTGTGTATCGCTGTGTCACATATATTGGGTGATTTTTGTCTTTCTAAATATTTGACTCTCACCTGCTGTTTTTTTTTTCAAGTGAACATGTTTACACTCTGTTTCAACAAATGCATAAATATCTATTGCTATTGGATTATTGCTGATACCCATTCTGAAATTGCAACTTTTCTTGAATTTCCAAAGCAGAATCTTAGAAAACTATTTCTGTATGTTATTAAATAAATATTTGATGCTCACTTAACTAGTAGTACACATTTATTCTTTGTTTTCTACATGCCATGCCCTGTGTAACTATTTTACACTTAAGTTTCTCATAATAACCCATGAAGGAATAAAGGAGACATGGTTGCACTCATTTAATTTTATAAATGAAGCAAACTTACAGAGAATGGAATAAGTTTAGTACTGTGTAGTTCAAAGATTCAGACAGGCAGCATTTTCTTGTTTAAAAACACATAATGGTCGTACTTAGAGCTTATTTATCTCATCATACGCAAGAATTATCTACACATTATTTATTCTAGTCTCAACACTTAGGAAGATGTCAATCTTCAATTTTCATTAATGTCTTGGATCAACTTATTCTCTTCAGTTGAAAATGACCAGCCACCATATATTTGCCAACAATCCCTCAAACAAGTAAACATTCCCAATGTGCACCTGTACAGGATTTTATTTTTATTAATTTTACTTTAAGATATATTATTGTTTGGGGCCCAGCACAATGGTCTAGTGGGTAAAGTCCTCATCTTGAATGTGCCAGGATCCCATACACCTTGAATGTGCCAGTTCTAATCCCAGTGGCCCCACTTCATCCATCTTCCTGCTTGTGGCCTGGGAAAGCAAAGGAGGATGGCCCAAAGCTTTGGGATCCTGCACCCTCTTGGGAGAGCTGGAGAAAGTTCCTGGCTCCTGGCTTCAGCTAGGCGTAGCACTGATCGTTGTGGTCACTTGGGGAGTGAATCATAGGATGGAAAATCTTCCTCTCCATCTCTCCTCCCTGCATATCTGACTTTGCAATAAAAATAAATAAATCTTTTTAAAAAGAGATACATAGAGGAGGCATAGAAAGTCAGAGCGACAGACAGAGGCAAATACCTATAAACAAGTTCCATCTCTTGGTTTATTCCCTAACTGCCCACAACAGCAGGGACTGGGCTAAGATAAACTAGGAATCAGAGGCTCCATCTGGGACTGTTCCATGGAAGGCTGGACCCCAACCATTGGATTCATCCCATGTTGCCTCCCTGGGGTACTAACACTGGAAGGTGGAATTGGTAATAGAGCCAAGACTCAGACCCAGACACTCTGATTTGGAATGTAAGTGATGTCATAGCTTCTGAGCCAAATGTCCAAGCCAGGTTACAATATTGGACAGAGTGATCTTAAGAAGACTTCTGTTGAAATAATTTAGTTTTGTCATTTAAATTGATGACAGTTTAGATAGTAAGTTCTTAATTTCCAGTTTTCTTTCTGTCTTTAGATTACTTGATCATTCTTGATTTCAAAATGTAGGATTCTCAGAGAGCTAATGAACTTCCAAAGATGCTACAGACATTTACAAATATCAGCCTTCAATTTTCTGTGAATATCAGGAGCCCAGGTATTGTGAATTAAGAAGAAAATGAAAAAGAAATATATAGCTATTCTTATTTGAGATTCTTCTCACCTTCATCTTTAATTGGGACTATTTCTAAGATAAGACAGCTGACAATTCTAAAGAGGGAACTAAATCTGAAACCATAGCATTCCCTAAATAATCACAGTTTTACTTGCACATGTCTGTTACAAGTCCTTGGTTTCATTTGACGCATGTCTTGTGAGCCAAGCCTCCATGGAATGAAGTTCAGGGATGGCCAGCTAGGGACCACTGTAACAGAAGGAAGTGAGATGTATAGGACTTAGAAGCCAATTAAGTGATTTTCCCATCAAATATGATTTAGACCATGATTCTTGCTCCTTCCTTGCTGTATATACTCTCACGCCTTAAAAGCAATGACACCCCATATCTATTGACTCCTTCCCTCTTAAAGCACTTTTAATTTTTAAAAAATTTATTCTTACTGGAAAAGCAGATTTACAGAAAGATCTTTCATCCACTGGTTCACTCCCAAAGTGGCCACAATGGCTGGAGATGAGCTGATCCAAAGCCAGGAGCCAGGAGCTTCTTCCAGGACTCCCACGTGGGTTCAGGGTCCCAAAGCCCACTACTGCCCTCCCAGTCCACAAACAGGGAGCTGAATGAGAAGAGGAGCAACTGGGATATGAACTGGTGCCCATATGGGATCCCAGGTGTGCAAAGTGAGGATTTAGCCACTAGGTTATCGCACCCGGGCCCGCTCATTCCCTTTAACGTCCCTACTATAAGCCCTGCTAATTGATTCTCATTGTTATATGAATTAGAACCTCCTGAACTTACCTTCCAAGTTCATCATAATCTGAGTGCCACACACTTTATGCTTCTACTATCAGATCAATCTTAGAAGAAAATCACATCCATTTTTAATTCCCCATCTAACACTCTCCTCTAGTCTTTAAAACTATTACAATGATGCTAAAATATATCAGCTAGGGTTCCAAGTTGGGCCAGAAGCCAGGCCTAACCAATTTTCCTCATCATACTTCCCAGGATATCCCCAAATTGGTTTATAGCACTTCCTTAGAAACACATTCCTATCTCTGCAGTTTGGTTTACAGCATCCTCTCTGGCCAGGTGGATTTATCTCTCTGATATCCATTAATAAATCTGTTAGGGACCTCCTCCTGCAGGAAGTCTCCCATGACTAGTCCAGGATGGAGTGAGCTCTCCTAAATTCCTGTGCCAGCTACAATAGTGACTTTATAACCACCCTAGCTAGGTTCATCCCAACACCTAGCTTGGTGTAGGGGTTCAAGAAATGTTAATTTCTTGGTTCTTGAAGCACCCACACAAATTCCAGCAGGTATGTTTTGGGGAGGTCTTTTCCGTTCCCAGCGGAGGCCTGCATCCTTGTATTTGTTCCTGTTGTCTTATTGTAGGATATTTAGTAATATTGTTCATTTTCTACCTCTTCCTTTATCTTCTTAATAGCCAATCATCAGAGCACCTACTATCTAGTTGCGGGGTGTAGTACGTTGTTAATGCTAATAACTTTCTCGGTGGTTATGCTAAAAGTCTTCTGGATTGAGGTGATTCTTCTCTGGAGAGATACATTTAGACCATACAAAACTAGGAATGGTAAGTAGAAAGATTCAAGCTTTTCCTCTTAAAAAAACCCCTTAATGAGTATTACTTAATATCGTAAGAGTTATGGTGCCAAATTTAGAATCCATTTTGCCTGCTAACATTGCCAGCAAACAGTGTTTTCATGTTATACAGAGGTGATTTTCCTTTCTTGTGGTCCTGGAGTTCATCTTAGTAGCACCATTTTTCTCCCCATTAGGATAATCTTTCATCTAAATCCCCAATAAAAGATTCTGCCTCAAGTTTAGAAATGTTTTACTATTTAGGGAAATGTATTGGAAAGGTTTTAGGCAAATAAGCATAGTAATAAAATTTCTCCTGCCTTTTGGATGGGCACAAATTGGGCAGGTTGGTCAGAGTGCAGGTTCCTGCTGCCTGAAACCCCATTCCAGAGAAAGCCTCACCTATGCATGTCAATGCCACATGAGTGCAGACAGTTCGGCTGGTAAGTGTGGAAAACAGTTTTTCATGGGAAGGAAGATACATGTTAGAAAAGATGCAAAGCATATCTACAGAAGACTCCTGCCTACTATGAACTCATACTAACAGATTAGTAGCCAAGCTAGACAATATGGCCAGAATTATGCTGGCCAAATTCTTGCTTAGTCTCTTATTAGTCAGCCTGAGATACTGAAAAGGAAGAGGACTTCAGGGTCAAGACTGTGGCTTTTTGATTATTGTGGCACTGGAAAATTGTTATCATCCCTTGATTCTACAATACTCCAGGAGATGGGATACCTTCACCTGAACCATAAAACTTGGCAAGGGGTATCTATTAGAACTCAAGTGAGAGTTTTTAAAACCAAGTAATGAAGTTGTACATCTTGTTTTCGTTGTCAGATGGAAAGCTCTATGATGCTTACATTATATATCCACGTAACTACCGGTATTGCTCAGAAGAGGCCAGCTCCATGGAAAATTTTGTTCATCAGATCTTGCCTGACATTCTTGAGAATAAATGCGGATATAACTTATGCATTTATGGGAGAGATCTGCTACCTGGAGAAGGTAAAGCTACCAATATACACTAGTGGCACAAATTGATGCTTTTTACAAGGTTATGAGCTGTGTGGGCCTAGCCCCGCAGGTGGATAAAAAATTGTGTTTACTATCTTGCAGACCTTAAGATTAAATATTTTAAAGGAAAACTTGTCATTTGCTATTGTCATCTCATCACTGTTTTCGGGACAAGATCTACACATTTCTATCAGTGACATGAAGTCAGACAGGAGTCTTTTGAACTATGGATTTATCAACATTGCTGAATTTCTACTTTGCTTCCGTGTTCTCCTTTAGGACAATTCTATGACTTCTAGGAACTCAATTCAGGTCTCCTATTTAAGTAGCATGAATCTGATTAATTGAGCCATCAGTGCTGCCCACCTCGGCACACCTCCCCCTCCGCCCACGAGCCTGTATTGGCAGCAAGTGGGTGTCAGGAGCTGAAATTGGGAATCCAACCCAGATACTCCAACACAGGACAAAGGTTTTTGAAATGGCAGCTTAAGTGCTAGACCAAATGCCTTTTTCTAGGTTAGTATTTTAAATTTACATTCCTACTAAAATGGGAGAGGATATTCAGGTGCCTACAGATTCAAACGCACACTGAAAAGTTCAGTTCGCTTTACTCTGGAGTATGTAGGAGTGCTGATAACCTGCTAATGGCCGGGACACTTAACCAGTGTAAAATTTAAGAAGATAGAATCCAGTTCTTTTCCCAGTGCTCCCCTTGGCCACCAAGTGGATAGAAACTAATAAGCAATAGTCTTACATGCTTCATTAAGCTACAAGATTGCTCAGCATCCTGCAGGGGCTCCTATTGGGTCACACTGTGCTCACATTTGGCCCCAAACTCCTACTTTTTCTCGATCCATCAACCTAATTTCTAGTTACCCCTTCCCAAGTCAAATTCAGAGGCCAGGTCTCTGGTGGCGGTCTCCTAGTCCTCATTGTCCAACAATGTACTCATTTGAAACATGTCCTTACTCCTCCCCAGTGTATGTCCTCTTACCTTTCCTCAACCAAAATAAAATGAAACCCAACAGGACACACTGAAGTTCATTCTATCCTTGGCCAATGCAGCATGTTTATTCTCATCCCAGTTGTCTTCCAAATTTGAGCCTTTTCATGCACACTACAGCCTCCTCCATTCAGGCTCCGTCCTGACACAAGTCACCTTTTTGGTTTTAGGTTATGTTAATTTCCCCAATTCAGATTACATGTATTTGCAGATTTCACCTACTACTCTAATAACACCTCGAGTGGTTATGTTTCCTTACTTGCTTCCACCTCCCGCTATGCCAGAAAACCGGGTACTTCACAGGCTCCTGAGTCTACCCAGAAGTAATTGGATTCACGATGGAGTAGAATGGAGGCTATCCTTCCTTAAGATTTTCTTATCCAGATCAAATCAGAATGTAGGGGGAGGTGTATGTAAATCCAGGTATTTCCCTAGAGACTTGGTCAGTTCGGAGAGGCAAGGCTTCCTGAATGTGCACTCCTTCAATTGGTAAGGTGCTTTAATGCAAGCAAGCAAATATTTTATACAGATAGTGTACTAAGGAAATGCAGTCTTGGTGAACTCAGATCCCAAGTGTCCCACGAAATGGTAGGCTAAGTATCTCGACATCCTCCCTGAGCTGGAGGGACTCTCTCAAGGACACTGAGCCTGATACTTTTAGGGTGAAAGGAGTGAAAACAAAGTCAAGTCCTCCACCCAAGTACATTTCCACTTTTCTGAGCAAATGACTTGGGCAGTGTCAGAATCTCACACCAGATTCTCAATAACACTGATGAGCAAAGCATTGGACTTAAAAAAAAAATGACAGGAAATCTTCATTTGCTTGGATTACCAGATGCAGCCATAGCAGTGGAATCCAGCATACAGAAGAGCAGGCGGCACATTTTCATCCTGACTCCTCTTATCGTGCACAGTAAAGAGTTTGCCTATGAGCAGGAGATCGCCCTGCACAGCACCCTCATCCAGAATGACTCCAAGGCTATTCTTATTGAAATGCAGGCTCTGGGTGAGTCAGACGTACAGCAGGCTGTGGAACTGCAGGACTCCCTCAAGCACCTGATGAAAGTGCAGGGAACCATCAAGTGGAAGGAAGACCATGCTGCTAAGAAACAACCTCTCAAGTCCAAGTTTTGGAAGCATGTCCGGTACCAAATGCCTGTGCCAAGTAAATTGCCCAGTTAGACTTTCAGGAGAATTTCCTGAGGTGTCCAGGGCAACAGGGTTTGCTTTCATGAATGGATGCTTCCGAGTCCGAGAACTCGGTGTTTTTTTTTTTTTTTTTTTTTTTTTACTATATATGTATAGTAAAAAAAAAAAATTCAGAGATCTGCAACTACAGCAAGTTGCAGAGCAAAACTGTAACCAAGAAGATACAGCCAGAAATCTCTGAAAGACTTTAAACTAGACAAAAGGCAATACATTTCTAGAAAGAAACTGTTTGCCATTTCACCTTTCACCCTCTGGCTGTCTAATGGTTTTGAAGCCAGCAGGTCTTCTATGACCACTGGATATTCTTGAATGTGAAAGACTCTATGCTCTAAGATCAGCACAGTTGAAGGTTGGAAAGGTCCTGGCTCCCTGTTGTTAATGGTGAATATCATTAACGTCAGTGAACTTGATGCCATTGGGCTTCTTTTCCCTTTGTAAAAACACATCCTTCTCTGTTTAGCTGTTTTTTTTTTTGCTTTGTTATTAGTCATAACTGAACATACGATATGTAATGAAACTAAGTTTTCCTATTGTGGGCGTACCTTACAAATGATCAAGTTAGTAAAAAAAACTGTTAGATATGCATTTATTGTCAACTTTTGCAAATTGATCCGCAAATGTTGTTAGACATTGTTAAACCTTCAGGTTGGCAAACATTGATTTACTGGAACGGACTGTTTTTTAATGTTACAATATCATATGTAAATGGTTTATGAATATGGTGGAAACATCAGAAGCGCTCTGCATTGAAAACTTGAACTTGATTTAGCTGATGCATGTGTGAGAAATAGAAATTGCGTAATGGATTTAAAACAGGAAAATGGCAAAAAGAAAAAAAAAAGCAATACATTTCTTGAGGGTCACTTAAAGGTTTTTTAAAGATGCCCTAGCTCCTCCCAGCTGAACTGTGCCTGTGCCTCTCATGTCCCCTTGAGGTACGTTCTGCAGGTTGGCATTGTGGTGCAGTCACCCACAGCCCAGCATCCCACACAGGAACCAGTTCTCTTCCGGATGCTGCACTTTCCATCTAGCCCCCTCCAATGGCCTGGAAACGCAGCAGGAGAGTGCACGCGCCAGGGCCATTCACCGGGGAGAGCTGGATGAAGCTCCTGACTCCTGTCAGCCTGGCCCAAGGGTAGTCAGGGGGGCCATTCGGGAATTGAACCAGCAGATGAAAGATCTCTTTTTGTTTCTAGCTCTTTCTCTGATGTTTTGAAAATAAAGGAAATCTTTGGAGGAGAACATTGGTATACATCTTATTTCCAACCTCAGAATGTTTTTATTGTATTTTATATGCGTGGATGCTCAGCTGTATTATACCCATGTTGTTGATTTTATTGAACTGTCTTATTTCAGTTACCGTTATGACAGAGGTTTTTGTGATTCTACATGTTGATTCTCCTTAGTGATAGTTCCTATCTCAGTGACAGAAACATTTATAGAAGACCTGAAAATAAAAGCACAGAATAATTTTTTAAAGTCCATATATAAATCACATTAAGTTTATTTTACTAAATTTTCTTCTCGTTCAAAACATTTTAATTGTATTTACATGTACTGTTTGCATTACTGAGATTATGCCATATGAACTTCTGCCTTCTCTTTCTAGACAATATTATAATAAAAAACGTTTGGTATGTCATTGAACATTTCCATCTGATGAGTCTGTTATAGTGGACACAAATGTTCATCTCTATAAATAATTCTCCAATGAGCTGTCAGCATAATATCGCTCAATGAAAAACATATATATTGTTACTTAGAGATAACTGTAGTTGCTATAACCTTTTATGAAATTAGTAGGATATTTTGGCAAAACTGTTCTGGCAAGATGGAATTCATTTACAGGTTGCAGCTGTTGCGATCTAATGAAGAGATCATAGGAGCCCTCCAAGTAGAGATGGAGGTAAAGGGAGAGTTCCCGGTCTGGCAGTCCTGATAGTGCCTCCCGTTTTGCAGTTTTGCAACTGCGTGGAGCTGTTTAGCACAGCCTGGCCTCAGTGGAGCTGTGTAACACAGGACACAGTTTGTACATTTAATTTGCAAAATAGCATTGAACTGTAGTTTTGACAGACAACGTCATCCATCTTTAACCCAAATGTCACCCAGTACTTTTCAGGACCCTAATTGAAGACGAATCAAATTTCCGGAAGGATTCATAGTTACCCATCCTGTAGGTTATTCTGTTCTCTTAATCAGTGTTCCTTGGTTGGGTGGCACTACCAACCCCAACTTTCTCCCAAACAGGCGGGCGCGATGCAGATGTTACCCACCAGGTCCGCCTTGCTAGCGCTCCTAGCGCCCCTTGGCCTAAAGGGTGCGTGCAAGAGCTTTCGGGCTCCATTGTGCCTCTTCCAGGTCCCGCAGGTCACAGGGCCACCTCTGGGTATTCCCCAGAACCCACGCTGCGCCTCTGGGGTGGAAGGTCCCGACCGCGTAAAGGCCGCCACTCTTACCACCGCCGGGGCAAAGCGTGGGATTTTCCAGCTACAATTCAGCGCCCACGCGATACTGTGGCTGGCAGGACTGGCGCAGCTGGCAGGCGGGGCACCTGGGTGGAGGAACCGGTGCAGCAGCTGGGCTCGCGGGCACGAGCGTCCCTGACCCCCGGCACAGGAGAGCAGCCCAGGTCCCCGCGCAGCTCGAGAGAGGGAGCAGCTCACTACTGGTGTCACCCTAGTACTGCAGATCCTGAAACTGCCGAACTTGAAGCAGCGCCCCCTCTGCAGCCGGCAATAGCCGGTTTCTTTCTATTTCTTGCTTCTTCGTGATTTGCAAACCCTTTCTAGTGGCCTTATCTGTTAAATCACACCCGTGTCCCCACTCCCTCTGCCTTGCGGTGTCTCTCTTTCCTGTCCAGTTTCACAGCTGTTTGGGGCAGGGATCTCCCCCTCTCCTTACCTGAGTTCTCAGCTCTGCTTGCACAAGTGGTGACCTGGTGTGCAGGAGATACAGCCAGCCCTGCCCCAGCCTCAGGGGACCCCTCTGAAGGTAAGAACAAGCTCTGTGACAACCTGGGCCCTTTCTTACCGCCCTGATCAAGGCCAGTCACAGGATCATGCAAGTGTGTGTGTGTGTGTGTGTGTGTGTGTGTGTGTACAGAAGGACAACTGAAACAAAAGCATCATTAGCGTTCACTGATAACTTTACAGGTTAAGACATTTCTCGGTTCCCTTTCTGCAGGAGTGACAACAGCTGTGATAAATGACAGTGCTTATTATTTATGAAACTTACTGTATGTCTCATACTGCATGGGAAGCTTTTAGATTTTTCTTATTTTCTTTCTTGGGCTCACAGGACAAAACAAGCACTAATTTCATGCTTAGTAAAAGGAAGAGAGACTAAATAACTGATTTTTCATTGACCCCCAGAATACTACTGAGGAGTAGATCCCAGATTTGTACCAGAACTTTCTGGTTTTCAAGATCTTTGTCCTTAATCTGAGGTGTTTTCAGAATGATGAATACTTGATTGTATCACTCATAGACACAGGAGTGACGAATTACTAAACAATGCTTGCCAGAGATAGGATGTGAAATTTCTGTTTAGGTCACAGCTTCTCTTGCTTCATTCTTGTGGTTTCTGAAATACGTGCTGTGCCATTGGTAGATCCCCAAGGGCAGAGGCTTTGGAGGTGCTGGGAGGGGTACAGCTGGGAGCTGGGTTTGTTTAGATTCTGGGACAGCATACCCCATTGCCCTGAGCAGAGAGAGAGAAAAGTGGAGTTGTCTGGCTCAGAAACACAGAATGAAAAGGCAGGTGCCTGTCCAGGAAGTAGGGACAGGCCCTGGAACCATGCGGATACCTGGTCTCTCTGAATGTCAGTGGCTTCCTTGCAAAGGCAATCAAGGTGCTACATCGTGAGGACTGTAGGCACCTAGCTAAGGGGCTACGGGGTAAGTGTTCAGGTGGTAGCACATGCAACTGCACAATGGGATGAGAAAACAGTATGAAGATACGAGTGACTGATGCTTTTGTGATATGAGCTGTGTACTGGCAAAGATACTTTTGGACCTGCAGATGGGAAACTGAATTATAGCTAGTTTTGTATTCCGTAGTGTGTGTGTGTGTGTGTGTGTGTGTGTGTGTGTATGACCATTTTCTACTCTTTGTTGTTTGTATCATTTTGTAGGCTAAGTGTGCATGAATGCCATAAAGAATAACCTACATATTTAAAGATTTCTTCATTTTTATTGGAAAGTCAGATTTACAGAGAGAGGGAGAGACAGAGAGAAACATCTTTCATCCGCTGGTTCACTGCCCAAGTGGCTACAATAACTGCAGCTGAGCTGATCCAAAGCCAGGCGTCAGGAGCTTCTTTCAGGTCTTCCACAAAGATGTAGGGTCCCAAGGCTTTGGGCTGTCCTCTACTGCTTTCCCAGGCCACGAGCAGGGAGCTGGATGGGAAGTAGAGCAGCTGGGATTAAAACTGGCGTCCACGGGCCCGGCGCGGTGGCGCAAGTGGTTAAGTCCTCGCCTTGCACGCCCGGGATCCCATATGGGCGCCGGTTCTAATCCCGGCAGCCCCGCTTCCCTTCCAGCTCCCTGCCTGTGGCCTGGGAAAGCAGTCGAGGACGGCCCAAAGCTTTGGGACCCTGCACCCGCCGTGATTCAGGCTGGGCCATTGACAGTGAAGCTTGTCTATTCCCCTCCTTGAGTCACAGGCTCCTCTGAGAAGGAGCTTGGAAGTGGTCTGGCAACCATGGGTTTCTGTGAAATGGGTTTCTAGATAATGGTTAGTTTCCCCAGGGTGCAGGGTCTAAGGCAAACCCAGCTGGGTGCAGCTGGGGCTCCAGTGACCACTGGGACATCTGAAACAGCCTGTTCTGCACTGCCCGGGGACAAGAGGGAGGGATCAACTTGTATTGATCAGTCACACAATTAGGAAAGAAAACTTATTATATTTCAATTTAGAGAAAACTGTGCATGGATAAATTTAGGTAAGTTTGAGTTTTTTTGTTTTGTTTTTAATAAAGATTTATTTTATTATTTTTGGAAAGTCGGATATACAGATAGGAGGAGAGACAAAGATCCTCCATCTGCTGATTCAATCCCTAGTGGCCACAAC